CAGAGCTCTGAAGATGAAGAACAAGTCTAATGTCTGGCAAATAGCCAATATTAATGGATGATTGGCTACTAAGATCCATGTAAACCAACATTGAAAATTTCATATTGATACTGTACATTACATGGTTGAACTATATCTGCGAAAATAATACATCATTTGCTAAATCTTAGTTTGACTCATACCATTCCTATTTTTTTGAACATCAATTTAAACTATATCCTATAAACAGCTATCTTTTCCCTGCTCCAATGTGGTGTGGGATGGAAACGTATAGCCATCATGAGTATTTCAACTTGGAAATCTATCCAGCATCTTCAGAAGATCCACCTACGAAGTACTCATAATCATCCAGGTTTCAGGAGCTACCGGCAAAACCACTTCTTCAATACATGACATTGACTTTGAGTATTAGTAGATTCACTTCATTGAATCAGTTACAGCTTTGGTTTCTGGGGCTTATCCCCTGCAGAAATGTGCATGAAGTCATAAGTAAGAAACATACTGGACAGAGAGATATTATGTAGATAAGAAATGAACTCAGTCTGTTCTCCATTATATTGAATGTGCAAGCAGCAAAATAATCCTTCAAAATGGAAGTATTATAAAATAAAGATGCATTCACTGCAAAAATGTATCAAGATATGGCATTTCCACATCGACATAATTGGAGCAAAAGCCTTCATACAAAATGAGACGAAACTTTTAGAACTCTGAATCTAATGGAAATTAGATAAATTATCCACTGGCCACTTGAGGGAAAAGGAGGGGATAACTCACTTATTGCTTTAGGATCTCTATGTACAAAGAAGCTTGCCGCGACAATAGTGTAGCAGAGAATGAGCATTAGTCCTTTAAAGTAATTAGAAGTTCCCTCCTGCAAGTTCAAATTAAATCCACGTAAACAAAAAACACAGAAAAAAAATAATCACTGCAAACAAAAGGAGACACCACAAACCCCAAATCACTGTTTTTCCGTGTGCGTGTTTGAATGCAGTGTATGTATCAGTATTGGATCTCACAAATTTATTTAGAACTTATTGATGTTTACCTTTACTATACCAACTTTAAAATACAAGCGTTAACTTTAAGGCCCGTTTGATAACCATTTCAATTTTAGTTTTTAGTTCTCATTTTTTGTTCTAGTCATAGAGGATAAAGAGGGAGAATGGAAGTGAGAATGAGAGTGGAAATGAGATTGAGAGGGAAGATGAGAGGGGAGGATGGGAGGGAGGAGTAACAAAAGTGAAAACAAAAACTAAAAATTGAAATCTATTTGAAATTGTTCACTTTTGTTACTCCTCCCTCCCATCCTCCCCTCTCATCCTCTCTCTCAATCTCATCCTCATTCTCATTCTCACTCTCATTTTTCTCTGTACTCTAGAACAAAAAATAACAACTAAAAACTAAAATTGAAATGGTTATCAAACGGGCCCTAAGCCTTCCAAACTTGCCATTCACAACTCAAAGAACATGGAGTAACTCATGGTACATTCTACGGTTTCCCCTATAAAAGCAGTCAAGTAACCATTACCGATGAAAATAGAAAAGATAATTTACTCAAATGACGAACCTGTAGCATGAAGGCTACTACTAAAACAGTTATGAAAAGCGTGGCTGTCTCAAACAGTTGGAAATCTAAGTCCATAGGGCACCCCATCAGCCACCCAACCACCACACAAAATGGAATCTGCAGCAATAGAAATGACAATAGAGGATTTAAAAAAGTAATAACCACAAGATGAAGAAAAAAAGAGCAATAAATTCTTCCAGAACATTTATATTCCAGCTATAATTGTTACGAAACAACAATAAGCAATATATATTTGAAAACATGGAAAAAAAAAAATCACAACAGATATAGCTGCATTTACGTACTGCACAGACTCAATCATAGTATCAGGATTAAGAACCACACATGCACAAGTTTTTTAAAAGATAAATGTCAGTCTAGATCCATATGATATTTGGAACTCACTCCAAACATAGATATCTGGGTTGATGAGCCTATCGCCACTCCCAAAGTTATATCCTGCATGAGACATTGAGAAAAATTCAACAAGAATATAATGACAAGTCCTGCATGATTGTATTATGGCACCAACTGGACAACCACTTACAAGCTTGTCTTTCATGGCAAACATAACAGCACCTGCATGCTCTGCTGCGTTCCCAACGATTGGCAGCAGAATAACACTAATAAATGCAACCGGAATGTTCATTGCAACAGATGCACCCTGCAAGCATTAATATAATATAATACCATAAGAATAACTTGGAAATATATAGATACTACATAAGAAATTCGTCACTACAAAAACCATAAGAACAGTTATGAAAATTACAAATCATCCAAACTCAGAGTTGTCATACACCTGAAGGGGAGATAAATAATATAAAAACTTAGGATAACAAGATAATTTGCAGAAGGGATTACCTCAATCGCATTAACTAAATATTCTGAGAGGACTGAAATCCATGCAGTTAGAATAGATAGCCATATTATGGATTCCCACTTAGAGATCTCAGGTTCCTCTTCATCATCTGAAATTTCTTCAGCGTGATTCTCTGCCTGGTTTTATGCCAAATATACACAATCAGATCACATAATGGAGATTCTGCACAAACTGTTTCACAGAGAGAGAGAGAGAGAGAGAGAGAGAGAGAACATAACAGCCATTTTTTGTATTTCAGTGCTTACTTTCCTTTTAAGTGAGCATGACAACCAAACTTCACTTATTTGATTTCTGTCTTCAGCCAATAAAATATTCATTTTTACATGGTATGATTCATTAAATAATGAGTTAAAACTTGTTCGCAAACAAATCAAACCAGAAAAATCATTGTTCCCTGAAACAATACATATGTAGAACATTTGCATTGAGAAAAAAATGAATTTAAAGAATTTTGGGTGGTTAGGCTTTCTCCATATTCAATTTCATCAGACACCAGAACAGTGAGAGGGTAGGAATTAGTAACATGGTAGGAGGTCCTCATTGGAGAAGACCAGAAAGAAAGTATTAAATAAATTCTTTTGGTATGAGGTCCTCATTAGTAAATTCTTTTGCTACCAACCTGATCAACTGGAACATATAAATTCTGCTGGCTCTTCAACTGAAAGAACAGATAGCAAGCATATGCTACAAGCATAATGCAGCTGGTAAATCTTGAAAGGGCTAGTTCAGATTTCCCGAAGTGCAACTCTGTGCGAGTAGAGTGCAGTACAGCTGGAAAGAGCAGACCCATGACCGCCATCAATAGCAATCCAGAGCTCACTGCAGCAGTTGCCTGAGAATATAGGAACTTTGAGCTTCAAGAAAAAAATACGAATGGTAGAAGACAGACACAGTTCTCTTTTTTATACTAACCATGCATTAGTGATAAAGAAAGAAAACATACCTTGTTGAAAACTTGTTCCCTCTTTGAAAACACAAGTCCACCAGCAAAGAATGCACATCCAAGCACCAGCAGCATGTTTGACAGAATTGAGCCTAGTAAAGACTGTTGAACAACACGAATCATGCCACGTCTCAGAGCATAAATTGATATTATCAGTTCTGTTGCATTTCCAAAGGTGGCATTTAAAAGCCCTCCAACTGCAAAATTGAAGACATAATTTGAGTCATGGCATAAAATTTTTAGATCGACGGAATGACTGCTAAATGTAAAGCTAGTACAATAGCTTCAAATTTTGGTCCTTATTTATGGTCGAAAAGAAAAGAATGATACTTGTATTAGCTACACACGTACCTGTTGGTCCAGTATAGCAAGCCAGCTGCCTGCATCAAAGAAGCCAAGCTGTATTAGGTAATCAATAATGCACATTAATTGCAAAGTTAGTATGGATGGCCGGCTCACGTGCACGTGGATTAAATCCTAATATGCTCCAACACTATAATAAATGTAGGTTCTCAAATACATCAAGTTAACTATATATTTATTCAGACATGGCTGTTGGATTCACTTGTGAACATAGATTTTGGGACCTATAATCAGAACCTACATGGCCACTCCCATGCGCTGTTGAGCTCAACAAGAAACTCATAAACATTTATGTTTGCAAATAAAGAAAATACAAAGAGAATGCAAGAAATCTTACTCTGTTGCATATCCTAATCGCTCAGCCAAAGGTATGATGCCCAACAAGCTTAAAAGGAAGACCCAACCCTAAAATCCAATAAATGAATCAAATAACCAAGTACACAATCATATGACGATCCGAACAATTCACATGCAGAAACAGATAAAGAAACTCACACGATGGCCGGAAAATTTATCAACCACGATCGCTAAAGGGCCAAAAGGCATGAGCAAGTTAATTTTGGCAGAGAAAACTACAATCTTGATGCTATCAACCACCGTATTCCTCAAGGCCTGGGGAGAACAGTCTCCTGAACCACCAGAATATAGAGATCTGAGGGGAGCCTCATCCAAGGAATGTTTGTCAGGACCAACTAGGCTCTGGTCCTCATACTCAAACGCTGGTTTGGGCTCCATTGATCCCATCTGTGGAACCAAAATCTTTGTTAATATCAGAGATTATCAATACCAATAGCAAATGCCTTTGACACCATGCACAGCTAAAGATTTAATAACTAACCTCAACATGGGAATCCATTTTTACTGTGGCTGCACCATTGTTGTGGTTGTTGTTGTTATTGTCGTTGTAAAAATGGTTATCAGTATCCATGGGGAGGTAGTACAATTCTATGCCAAGAAATCAACAAGAATTCCATCTCCGAAAGAAAGCATCACTGTTTCATCACATTCTCCACAATCAAACATACATACATATAAGTTTGCAAAAATCTGTCAAATCATCATGGCTCATACCTACATACATAAATATACATCCGATCTATGTATAGGTTCTTTACCTGTTCTAAAAAATCCCATATGAAATTTTGGAGAACAGTATCAATTTCACAACCCCAATAAACAAAAAAATAAAAAAATCATGGGAAGCAGAGAACTAGTACGAATCTGCCAAAGTATGATGACCTATACATACATACATACATACATACAAATACATAATCTTTACCTATTTGTAATAAAACCCATATGAAATTTCATCCAACAACATGAATTTCTCAACCTCAACAATCAAAACAAGAACAAGAACCATGGCAAGTAGAGAAACTAACCTTGTGGCAATGGAATTATATACATATGCATGTAACTCAATTGCAGTTGATGGATGCCATCTTGGGCTAGACCAAATGAACATGCAAATTAGTAACAAAATTGAATTTTGCCTTGTTGTCTCAATAAATCCAAGAATCCTTCCAAACTAAACGAGCAATGGAGGGCAGAAGATAAGAAGCAAAGAAGGTAGTTTATTGGGTGTAAATTGATGGTTTTTGATAAAAAGCGGTAAACAACGTTGAAGGCAGTAGGAAACACATCTGTGAATGTGATCCACAGCCATCCAGAGCCCGCCATTCTCGCCCAGCAAATACATTATCTCCATTACTATTTTCAGACATGCAAAGCTCATTTCTTTCTTTCAATTCAATAACTTTCTCTCACAGTCTCACTTTTTTTCCGTTCTCATAGCAGAAAAAACGTTGCACGATTGACACCGACCAATCCCCTTCACATTAACCATTTTTCCTTTTATTTTTTTATGAGATAGGGGGACAAACCCCAAAAAGAAACAACAACTAACTAGTACAGACCAAACAAGGACCATTTTTCCTTTTATAAATAAACAAAAAAATCTTCCAATTTCATATGAAAATCTTTGGGCCGGTCCAGTCTGAGCTATTTGAATTATGTACAGTCCAATATCCTATGACCCCCAAAAAAAAAAGTCCAGCTTCGGCTACTAATCCGACACAGCTATACGACGTCGTATCACTCTCGTGCTTAGTACGAGAACCGAAAGGACCTCGACGGTGAACGTAGTTGCAGAGAGTCAGAGAACTACAAATGAAAAGCAAGAGACGGACGGTTAAGCCTCGGCCTGTGAAAAGCTCCAGACTCTTCTCTAGGGCACCGCCCCAGCTCTTCACTCAGGTTAGCAACTACTAAATTCCTGAAATTTCAAATCTTTTATCTGCTCTTTTTTTTTCTTTTTTTTTTTTCCTGTTGAAACTTGAAATACTTGTGATTGAGTCCATTGAGTCCTTTTGCTTGTTGTTAGGATGAGCATGATGATGATGATGATGAGGATTTGAGTTCTGGGTTAAGCAAAGAACAGTGCTTGTTGAAGAATCTATATGGAGTTCGATAGGTTAGAAGTAGATAATTGTGTTAGGTGTAATGGTGGTAGTGGGAACGGGAAATTGTTGGTTTGTACTGAGATGGGTTGCCCAATTGCTCTGCATGTGGAGTGTATGTGTGCTAAACCTGTGTTTGATGAAATGGGCAATTTTTACTGTCCTTATTGTGCATATAAGCTGAAGTTTGTGCGGACTCAGAAGCTGAGGAGAAAGGCAATGGCTTCCAAGAGAGTCCTGTCCAAGTTTATTGATGCCGGAGAGGGAAATGGTTGCGGCTATGGTGACGGGTGTGGTGGTGGTGAAGTTCGGGATCAGACTGTGGGGATTGAAGGAGGTGAACCCGAGGAAGAGGACAACGAGCAGAGAGAGATTGAAAATGTAGGAGGTGGAGAAAGAATAGATGAGGACCAGCAGGAGGGGGAAGTTGTTGAAGAGACACCTGAAGTGGATGCAGAGCCTGAGAATGCTTGTTATGTACAAGAAAAGACAAATAAGGACCATGGACATGATGGATTAGACCAAGGAGATGAGGAAGGTATAAGGGTGTCTAAGGAGAATGAAGACAAAAGTGACGATGAAGAACAAGGGCAACCAGAAGCAAACGAGGTACCTGCAAATGGCACTGTCGTGTCCGAATCTGAGGAGTTAGATACTGGGTCTCCTCTAGTGCGGAAGAAGCGTTTCAAGAGAAAAGCTCAAAAGGCAGAACAGCCTCAGAATTTAGCTTCATTAAGGACAGTGCCTTCTCCATCAAGGGAATCATCCTCTCGTCAAACAAGTTTTGTGGAGGATTCAAAAAAGCAAAATGAGAAAGCTAAAACCTTTTCCAAGAAGGAAATAGAAGATCACGAATTTGCAAGGTGATCATGAGTTATGTTATTAATTTTAAATTTTCTTTTTTTATAAGTTTATATATGGAGTCTGGTTTTGTTTTCTATAAAAATAGTAGGTGGATTCATTTGATATTCTTATGCAATTAGTACCAATTGATAATAATTTATTTATCCTATTATGCTGCAGAAACTTGGTACTTCCCAATGGGAAGCGCAAGAAATTAAACTGGACAGGTGAAGAGGTAGAAATGTTAAAGGTATTTGTTTGTGTTTCCCTTCCTGCCTTTCTGGAAATGATTTCATCTTCTGAAATAGTATCATCTAATCCCTGCCAAGAGTATGTTGATGCCTAACTGATTTGTATCACTGGGAGTGTCAAAATTTTCAAATTATGTATTTTGTACGTAGCCTTGCATATGCCGAGCTCTCTTTTTCTTTCCGATTTTGAAAAGTTCTCAGATTTTTTCTTAAGAATATTTGCATAGATAAATCAGAGAAAGGTTAAAAAATATTGCTGGCCAAGGTGTAAAAAATGCAATTGCATGACCCAATTGGGGTCAGATCTGCGTAGGCTAAGGAGATTATCTTCTGATTTGTTCAGGAGGGAGTGAGAATTTATAAAGCAAAAGGCCAAAAGATCCCCTGGACGCAAATTTTGGAATTTGGTCATAACATATTTCACATAACCCGTCTTCCAGGCGATCTTAAGGATAAATGGAGGAACTTGATCGGGCGAAGGTGAACTCCACTTTGGACTCAGAGAAAGCAGGTAACTTTGGTACCCATAGTACATTTTTTTATAAGAAATATGTGGATCACTAATTCTGTTGATTTTCAATTTTTCATATTATATTTGAGAACTTTCTATGCAAGGAGGGTGTTTGGCTTGGGCGTAATAGGTAAAGATATGTAGCTAGTCTTTCTTTTTTAACTACATGCTCAAAATATACTTCATTGCCAATTGGATATTAAATTTCTCACCTGTCAACCTTAGCAATGGTGATGACGTCAACCAGTCTTGGGTCAGAAATAAATGACTTTGGAATAGCATAATGCTGAAGGATTTTGAGCAATAAGGTTTTTTTTAATGGTTTCTGAAGCCTCAAAACTTCTGACAAGTAGTATTAACAATCTAGACATCTTTCTGGTAGCATGCAAGTGAGACTGGTAGAGATATGGACCCTTTTATGTATGTCAAATGAGTACTTAAAAGCTTTGCCTTTGGTTTGAGTTTTAATTATCTTCACAGAATTAGGTTGTTGGGGGTGCTTTTCCTAATTCATGCAGGGGGGGTTCATTGGGATAGGAAACAAGTTGGATTTGGGCTCGTTTGGTGCTAGCATTGGATTGGATTGGATAACTCCCTATATTTAAAGCATGTTAAAGGAAGAAATTAAAAAAAAGAAAAAGAAATGACCGAGTTGAAGGTAGAATATCGATTACTCACAAAGAAAACTTATCCCATCTAATCCCCACAAAATGATAGGATACCAACACCTTATAACTTATCCCTCCTAATCCCCCCAAAATGAAAATCATTCACCTCTACCTTCATTTCCTCTTTCAACATACCTTAGATTTGGTGACTTATCCCATCCAATCCAATCCTAGACACCAAAGGAGCCATTAATGTGCCACCGCAGCTTCGCTTATGTCAGTTATGAATGCCTGAACCATTCATTTATCCTTAATTTCTAGTTTTTAAAGGGACTTGGTAAAGTACATAGAGCACTGTTTTTTAAGTTGTCTAATCATAACTACACGGAGAGATTGATGTAAACCAAAGAGGTTCTCTCATCTCTTGAATTCCTTGATTAAACATTCTCAGTAGCCAATTTCTTTTCTTACTTTTTATTTTAAGAATTGTACCAGGTCTGTAACATAACATGTATTAATTTTACCAAACTGATTTTGTTTCTACAGATAACGACAATGTGGTTGACAAACGCATGACAACTCAGCTGAAAAAAAGTTTGTCCTCACTGTTTAAGACGCAGGCATTGTCATGGAGTAATTCAAAACTGCTTCAGCCATGAAGATTTTTTTTATTCAGAACAACATTTTGCACTGTATTTTTTTGTAAAGCTTTGTAAAAAGGGTGTACCTGTAACATCAGTTGCATGCTGAAGTTTCAAATATCAAGCGTTGGGGCCAACTTACATTTTTCTCTAACATGGGTATTATAATTCTTCTGGTTTTATCAGCTTTTTTAAACTACTTAATTAAAAATGTGATCTCTGTGAGATAACTGAACATTTGGCAAAAACTTTATTTGAGATAGAAGAGAGCAAATTCCTGAGGTCTCTTCCTCTATAATTACATCGTGAAATATACATTACAGGAACAGAAGAGAGAAGAGCTCCAAGTAGACTTGTTAAGTTGCTGCTATAGCTGTGTACTCGGGGCTTCTCTCTCAGCCCAGTAACCAGAGAAAGAAAGAAGATTCGTGATCAGCATTAAACAGGTACAAAAACATGGGATGTGGCTAGATTACTGTTCCACTGGGAATCAAGGCATCCTTGATCACTGTCACGATCCCGCTCTTTATGAAATATCCATCCGTTTCTCTTGCAGCTTCTTGCACATTGTCACTGTTAATAATCTGTAATTTACATTGTCAATCTTCAGTTTCACAAAGATAAATGAATATAAAATGTTTCGAGCAATCTTCAAAGAAGAAGAACAAAAGTAAAATTTTGAATTAATAACTCAACATGAAAGTGCAACACAACATTGCATACAATATAAGTAGGAAACAGGAAGCTAGGTGCATATTCGAGTTGTTTCTTTCCCACCTGAGAATTTTAAGTCTGATATAATTTGCAGCAAGGTTTCTATGTTTTGTTATGCTTTTCAGTTACCAGCTATCAAGTGTTATGTTGCTTGGTGAGCAATGAGCATTAAACTTCGACAACTCTCTCTCTCTCTCTCTCTCTCTCTCTCTCTCTCTCTCTCCTACAATAGAGCATGGGGTGTCACCTGGTTTCTCCAGGTCCAAACCCCACACACCATTTAGCAGCTTTTAGCTCTGCCAGTTGAGCATAGTATCATGAAATTTCCATTTCTCAACTAAGTCCCATGTCAAGATTCCACTCCTATTCTCATTTCATAAGCCTTCTCTGATCTGTTTCCTCAAATGAAAACAAAAAAACAAAATCATGTTAAAGTGATTGATCCTAACCTTAACATTGTCGCCAATTCGAGCATTCTTATCAATTATAGCTCTCTTAATGTGAGAATTCTTGCCAATACCAATTGGAACACTACCCTTTGCAGCCAGAAACCTCCTGTCAGCATCCGTCTGTAACAATCATAGCAAATGCATTAGTATAATCTACTCAACCCACAGAAAAGTCAAACGAAAAATGACAAGATTTCTAAAACACAAAGACGTTTATAAGTCATCTCTGGACTGAGAAAGCAGTAGGTTTTAAATAAAGAGCAGGATTTACCTCATAGTAGTCTGCTCCCATCAGTAATGTGTCCTCAATGACAGCACCCTCCGAAATACAAGATCGAAGCCCAACGACTGAATGGTGAATTTTACAGTTCTGCAATAGGCAAAAGACGGGTGGGTTAAATGAGCATGACTGCAATAAGTTATGTTGATTCCCGTCATCTTTTCACAATAGGATATAAATGTAAACTTTTTTGACATTGAGGGGAACAGGGACTAGCCGACAAGGACTTCACTGTAAACCAGAACAAGTTAGCAGAATGCTGACTTTTCCAACAAGAACTCACCTTTATCACACATCCCTCGCCAATAACACTATCTGTGACATCAGCATCGAGCATCTTTGATGGAGGCAAATACCGAGGTTGGGTGTAGATTGGGGAGGAACGATCATAGAAGCTACAATATAAAGTTGAAAATTAGCCCGGCATACAACATCCAGATCCAGCTGATAGCATACCATATCAATTGGTGCAACAAAACAGAAGCATCAATAAACTAGTTTTAGAACAAAACGTACCTGAAATCTGGAACTGGTTTTTTGGTTATCCCTAAATTTGCATTGTAGAAAGCCTCAATGGTACCAATGTCTTCCCAGTAGCCATCATACAGATAGGCTTGAACCTGTAGACATTAAACAATTAGTACTCTGGGAGCTCGGATTCTAGAGACAGGGAAGCAGGGGAACGAAATGATGGCAACACTGGGAAACCTCTAGCAGACCATACTAATTCAATTATGGCCACTTATTTTCTTCACTAGAAAGCAATTTGTTCAGTTTCTGATGAAAGATATTTGAAATCGAGTCAGACTAGGCTATAATGCAGCTCCACTTGCTAATTTTGCTTAAAATTTTTAATAGAACTTGGGATTTCAACTCCACAGGAGCTTGGGACCAACTCTTAACAATTATTCCATTCTTTTCCCCCCAAAGTGGACATACAAAAGAAGAACCTTGTGATTGAAGGGAATGCAGAGACAACAGAAAAAGAATGTGTGAAATTAAAACTTACTCTCAAACCCATGGAAGTTGCACCTGGAATAACTTCACTCCCAAAATCATTTGCTCCAGGAAACTTGTCCCGAAGTAGATCTAACATCACATTTTTGCTCACAACATATATACCCATACTGGCAATATAAGGCATCTCTTTAGCTCTCTGATCGTCAAGACCCAAGATAGTAGTATCAACCTAAAACAAAACAGAAGCAACAATATTTTGCCTCACTAAAACTAAAACCAACAACACTCCTAGGTTTCTCAGAAAACTCAATCGTTACCTGCATAGCTTTGAGTTGCTCCCCTTTAGGTTTCTCAGCAAACTCAATAATGCGTCCCTCGTCATCAATCTTCATCAAACCAAAGGCAGTAGCACGCTTCTCATCCATGGGCAGAGCAGCCACAGTGATATCTGCATCAGTTTCTCTATGTGCCTGAATAAACCTTTCATAGTCCATCCTATACAAGTGGTCTCCAGCAAGAACCAAAAACTCCAACACATTGTGTTCCTCAAACAACCACAAGTACTGCCTCACGGCATCTGCGGTACCCTGTAAACCACCAAAACCAAATATCCCAACTCAGAAAACCAATAAAAACCCAATTGCCAACACAACCCCACAAGCGCAAAAACAAGCGTTTTAATCACCTGAAACCAATTGGGGTTCTCTGGGCTCTGTTGGGCAGCAAGAACCTCAACAAACCCTTCATTTTTGTATCCACCCATGTTACTAGCATAAGCACGAGAAAGATGGCGATTGAGAGAGGCGGAATTGAACTGGGTCAGCACATAGATCTTGGATACGTTGCTGTTGAGGCAATTACTGACTGGAATATCGATCAGCCTGTAGTTTGCTCCCAATGGAACGGCAGGCTTTGCACGCTTCTTGGTCAAAGGGTAGAGCCTCGTCCCAGCTCCACCACCCAGTATAATCCCCAACACACTCTACCATACAACACACCATAATTCAATCAAAACAAGAACGCAATATGTTAGTGCAGAGAACAAAAGCAGCAAAAATGGAGGTACAAATAAACACTTACACGACTTGCGTCGGGATCAAGACATGTCTGCGAGTTCTTGGAATCCGAAACAGCCTTCGGAGACACAACCAACGGTGGGGCTCTGTGAGTGGGGCATTTCCTCGAACAAGTGCTGGCTGTTGGGATTTTAGTCCCGGAGAGATGAGAGCTACTGAAGGAGAGGCCTCTGCTGCTTCTGCAGAGACTCGCGTTCTGGGTCTGCTTCAAAGCATTCGGGGACGTCGAAGATGATCGGGGTCTGAGCATTCCGCTCGCTGCCATTGAAGAGGAAGCCATGGAAGAATTCGGAAGTTGCAGAGAGAGAGAGAGAGTCGAAGTGGAGTGAAGAGAGTGGCAGCTGAGATTTGATGAGTTTTCGGGACGCGTTTGCCCTCCGGCTGTTAGTGTATATTACGCAACCAACCATGGGAGGTATTTGAAACTGGGAGGTTGAGGGCAGGGGGCAATTTCGACTTTTTACAATCTAAATTCACGTATACATGTGGTATTGAATAAATAATTAATAATAGTAAAAAATAGACGGAAGGGAAGGAGGACCAAAAATCTTTCGAAAATTGCGATTATATTAATAAGTGGATATCATTTCACCTCAGTGCGAGCGGTAGATTGATGGATTGATGGCAAGGTCACATGTGGCATGTGGGTTTTTGCCTAAAATTTTGTGTCACATGTCACCACTTTTGCTTCTCACCGTCTATTTTTTCTTTGTATACTTATGAAACAAATATAAAAAACATGAAGCAAATTTTAACTCTAGTTACGAACTTAGCTTGATAATTTGACGAAGGAGGACTATACTTCAAAGCAATTATTGTCCCGTCACGTCAGACTTATGTTGTTAGACTGTAAATTAAAATTATTCGTTAAGTTAATTCTTATTTAATATGTAATTGAAATCACACGACAACATAAGCATTTTTTGAATAACACAAATTTGATAAAAACAAAACAAGTGTTACTATTTTATTACCTACTTGGTATACCTAATGGAGTAGAATATTCTACACTTGAATTGAACTATGAGGTGGGTATTGACAAGTTGCAGAAAATAACACCACCATTGCTAAATTCCAAATTGTTGTGTCACCCTCGATCCTAGAATGAGCATGTTGGTTCTACAAGTTGTTCCCTTCGCTTCCCAGCCATTTTAGGACCTCCATGATCATGTATTATCTCACAAATTTGACATAGATGCAGGTGCTTACTTTTAGATAAAACTAAGCTGGCAAATATTCTGGAAGTGCCTTGGAGCTTCAGAATTCATTAAAGCTTGCTTTCATTAGGATGAGAGATACCAATAATAGAATAGGATTTGCCCTCCTTCCAAACACATAGGCCAAACAGCCTGCAAATATAAATATTAAATAAATTTTATGCAACATTCCCTGTATGCCTGGATGGTTCGTTTATCACACATCAGTTCCTTTTTTTCTGCTCATGATCTTTTTGTTCAGATAGTGCAAATCCTCACATGGAATAAAGGACAAAGCAAGGACAAACATTTCAGATTTGAATGTCGCAGCTCTGGTGATCTAGTGATCAGATCCTGTCCCAAATCACCCAACTGTAGCTTCAACAGCTCAATCCTAAACACAGTTAACAATTTGAGTCACACTGGTCACACAAACTTCTAGAAATGCTGCAACCCCCATTTCTACGACACTAGATCAGTTCACTAACCAAACCAGAAAAGACAGAAGATAAAGGAAAAGCCAAATGGAGGTTTTAGCGAATTCATTATCTCGAAGGCCAGTTCACAAAATGAGAATCCAGATAAAGTAGTTTTATGTTTAAGCTCTATGATGTTGAACATAGATGCATCAATCACAGTATGAGCCCAAAGTGTTGTCAACCTGGTGCACCAAACGATTGATCTTGTCCCAGCCTCTAATGTCACAAACACCTGAGATTTAACCATATAACGCGCGCCATGGCTCCTTATCAAACTTTGTTTTCCGTGTTGGATTCCATGTGATTTTGTCTCTTGAAAAGTAGAGGTTCAAAGTGTTTGCCAAGAGCTCTCCTATCTCATAAAGTATCTGGATAAAAAACCACTTAGAGTTAGATGGCAAATGTACAAGATCTGTTAAATGTAGAAATAGAGATGGTTTAGGTAAACTGAATTTTGATGGTTTAGCTAAAGTAATAAAAAAGTATATACCTCAAGCTCTTCTTTATCAGAAATGCGCAGACCTGTTTCCCCTATAAGAACATAAGTGGGCAACTTCAAAACACGGACCAACTGAAGAAAGCAAGCTAAAGGTTCATGATGAATCTGCATCGTTGGTGGTGGCTTCTGGGTTCTGGTTGCCATGGCCTTGCTTATGGCTGTTTCTGACCCTATCTCTGTACCATAAAGCGAAACTTTGCCTTCAAATTTTGTTGCAGATTTACTTTCCAACTTAAGCTTGGATGATGCAACAACAAATGGGGCAACAATTGTGGGAATTGAGGATGATTTTTGCCCTGCTATTTGAGCTAGAATTTCATTAACAGCGCATGCAAGTATTGGTGGTTCATAATATTGCATAAGCAACACAGACACCTGAAAAATAAAAATTTGAAGATAAATTTATAGTGCATATTCCCTAATATGTAATCTTCAAGATATATCATATAAAATAATTATTCACCATGTCCAAGTAACCCAAGCTTTTGGAAATAGTAATAAACCAGCAAACTTCACCATGGTATCAAAGCTGTTGGTTGAGCAGCGGTAAATTAACGAACTTTACAAAAATCTGCATTCATAAAACACTAATGTAGTGCCTGCCACTGTAATATTTACAGCATGAGTTCTGAAAGGCAAGAAGGAACACTATTTGTGGACAGTCATTAATACGGTTCAACCTCTTTGGACTTAAGAAACCAAATCTATAAGCTTTCTTAGAAAAATGCCTGCAACTGAGTCCCTTTTAACTCACAGATCAATCAACACTTTCATAAATCTGAATAGAATTTATATGCTACATGGTTTTGGAAAAGCAACATCATTTTCATGTACAATCTAAGCCAAATTGGCATCAATTTCTCTTTCACCATGCTAACTAGAAGACATTCGCTTAAAAACTATATGACCCATTTCTCAACGCCCAAATCCCACATAGAATCTACACGAATATGAACCCTAAGTGGGTCTTGCGCAATTTCATACGAGATAGAGACAGAGACAGAAGGGGAACCTCATATTGACCCTGGTGATCGAGGAAGTGACGAATGCTTCCAGACGCTTTGCAATTTTTGATCCCATAGTGCTCCAATGAAAGCTCGAAACTTTCCTCTCTGAAACAAAATGACAGCCTTAGCACCTAAAATTGAACTGATACGATATGAATTCGATTTCAATCTTTAAACTTTACAAAGTTGAGAAGAAGAGAGCTTACATGGTGGTATTGCTTGGCTTAGGGTGGAAAGCACCTGAGATGGCGTCGCCGAAGCCATCTGAGTCTCTCAACAGAAACACTACCTTCGAACCTACCTTCATTTTCTTTCTGCTCTTTTTTCAAACCAAGCCCCGGAGTACAGGCAATTGCAATATATACCAGGTCACGTGCCACTTCTTTTCTTGATTTTGTTTGGTTTTTTCTTTTTGTTAAAAGAATATAATCAAGAGTACATTTGGTTATAATATTTTTTGCAAGAGTAGTTTCTCAATGTTATGAGTAATTCTTTTATTCTAACATGTGTGAGAATAATTCTTTAATGTGACGCGTTGTACATTCATTGTATTCAATTATATCATCTACTCATATTATAACACATGTATCAGTAACGTTATTTAACAGTGTGTCAGTCACATTTTGGAATTTCTCAGTGTTGGGAGGTAACTATCTCCTTATACTCAAATTTTTGCCATATACTCGGATCCTTTTTCCCAGTGGACTTTGAATCCTATGTTTATTTTGTCAATGAATATTTTTAAAATTTTATTACTAAACCTTGTACTATAGAGAATAATCCATAAGTTTGTGATATACTGAAAGTCTAAGAAATAACAAAACAAGTGGAGAGTGAATCCAATCTCCTCATTTACCTTCCTCTTTTACATGTTTTTCAAAAAAACTGATGCGGACTCATTATACATATGTGGGATTAAATTTTTATACATCAAAGATCCAATCCAGAAAAACACAATGTTGGTTTTGATTGAAAACAAGTTTTATCAGGGAATTTAGGCTAGAACTATATTGCATCAGATTTCAGATGCTTCTGATGCAAATGAATTGCAAAAGACAGAGGAAGATACTAAAACAATGGCAAGGTCAATGCATCACATCAACATATATGACCTTTTCCCTCTTCCCCATTTGGATGCATTGGGGGTTTGGGGACTTCAGTTGGCTGGTGCTATACCTACACCATTTCCAATTTTACCACAGAAAAATCCCTAAACCCTAAATATAATCAATCCGCTTTGAAAAATGGCAAAAAGCAGGTGATCAGGGTAAGCATCAGCAGACCTTAATTTCCTTTCCTGCAAATATGATATGAAGCAATTTACATTTTATCAAATGAATATTGGAGTGCCCATATATATAAATATATTAATGCTACTAAAATAATTTACAATTAACAACCATATGTTGTAATGTTTTTGCTAGCTATTGCTAAAACCTGTGATGCATATATATGGACATACACAAATATGTGCAAGTCTCTCACTCAATCTTATAAGCATGAAGAAAAAGGCAGAAGTCAGATGCTGTTGTGTTGCTCTGAGTTGAATAGTAAGCACTGCTGTGATCACTGTCTAGGCCGCCGCCGTTGCCGTTGCTTTCTTCTCTGTCACTCTCTGATTCTGGTGCCCCTGGCTTGAAAATAAACAAGCCATGCCCTGTGCTTGGGCTTGTGAAAAGCCAATCATGAACATCCCAGAACACTTGGACCGGTTGCATGTTCACAAGCACAGTTTGGTTCCCTCTGAATTTCCATTGCAGATTCTTCACATGGATCAGCACAATCCCATCTATGCTGATCCACATTTCGGGGTCTTTCGGTCCGGCTGTTGAGCTCTCCACAACAATGTCATGCTCTTTACTCTTCTCATCAAACCTCACTCTTGTGGCAAAGCTTTTCTTGGCAAACACGTTTTCTCTCTTGTAATATAGAAGAGCCTCAACAATGGCTGGTCTGGATTTGGTTCTCTTGTAAGCCTTCTTCTTCATGTCTCCTAGTAACAACACAACCTCCTCATCACAAACCAGAGCAACATAAAAGTCAGAACATGGTTCCGGGCCACCGCCAAATTTGGCAGAGCGAAGATCCCAATAGACCTCCACTTGATTTCCTTCCACCTCAAATGATTTGTACCCTTTTTTGCTCCAAAAATGCCATGGCTTGAGGTCAATCTTGCAAGTGTAATGAAAATCACCCTCTAAGCCATCAACCCTGATGCTGAGGGAATGGTTCATGAGATTCTTACACCATATGACTGTCACCTTGCGCCAATTGGTTGCAATGTTGGCAAGGTAGACGCAGGTCACTGTGCTTTGAGCGGTTTTTGTTGTCACGGGTTCGTCTGTGATTTTCTCTGCAAATGGTGCAGGCTCATGTAATGATTGGCCTCTCATAGATCGACTCAGACTCTGCATCTTTACAAATCTAAAAGCCTTCTTGAAACAATAATGCTAGAGTCACCAAATTTGTTCACCAAAACCGATGTATAAAATGCCTTCTAAAAACAATAATACTAGAGTCACCAAATTTGTTCACCAGAATCGATGTGTACTTCTTTCAATAGGGGATGATGATTGAAGAAAATGTAGCAATATTGAGGATTCAGGATGAGAGAGAGAGAGAGAGAGAGAGAGAGAGAGAGAGAGAGGAGAGAGATTTATAATATATATTGGGTTTGATGGGTAGCATTCAATAATCATATATTTCTTGCCACCTGCATTTTCATGTACTAGACCAACAAATATGTACAAATGTTGGGTTAGTAATAATTTGAGAGTTAAAAAGTTTCACATTGATTACCTCAATTGTGGACTTGAAAATCTGTGCTTTGAGAATGAAATCAAATGGAACTTACAACTTAGCCTCTTGGGATCTTTGGCCAAATAGGTGCTCTTGACATGGATGGTGGTTGGGGATCAAGGTGATAATGTAACGGGAAATTGATGAGAAAATAATTTGACAGAGAGAATCTGGTGAAGAGAGAGATGAAAGAGATTGTTGGAATGCAGGAGAGGAGAATAGGAGGCATGACAGTTTGTTTTGTGGAGAAAAAACCTCAATCTAGAGGCTATAATCTAAGAGGTTGCCGAAACAGAAGGGTTAACAAAAATCCTCTTTACAAGATCTTTTACTATATACAGCTCCTTATTTATTTGTTCGCTTAGATATCAAAACGGCTTCCAAGCTCAGCAAAGTTATTTCTTTCTATATCTTAATACCCTTTCAAATTTGAGATAGGATTTGTTTCTTTTCTGTTTTTTGTTATGTAAATCAAACAAGAAAATCCTTTTTTCACTATGTTTAGCTCATGGATACGACTAAATCATATAGATTATTCCATTTCGAAAATTCTATTGCTACATCTAAATTAATGACATGTTATTAAAAAATAATAATAATAATTAATGACATGTTTTGGTAGAGTACATTTTTTTTATTTTATACAAAGCGATATTGGAAGAGAGAGAATCGAAGAATCGAACCTAAGACCTAGGATGCAGTGTTAATGCTCTTAACACGTCAACTTGTTATTTAACTTTGTTTCACAAAGGAATACATCAAAATTCAAAAAAATAGATATACAAATTAAAAGAGGCTAACAATTAGATAATACCATTTCCTAAGTGAAGACTAATTGTCACAAAATCCAAATCCAAACTTCTGTTCAAAGTGGTTTCCCTCATTCCCAATTGGCAATCCTTCTCTCCAAACTGCAGAAGAAAACAAAATGGAAACATGAATCATGATGCTTCCAAACTTGATCTTCTGTGTGTAGATAATTTTACGTGTAGATAATTTTACAGAAACCTCATTCACACTATATTCCCATTGTCATATGTACTATTTCCTGCTCTGTCTACAGTTTCTTCTCCATCTTTTCTATCCTCGCTTCCAATCAAGCTATTGCCACCATTGCCAGGATTTAGGATTCCTCCTATATGATTGGCTGAAGCTGCAGCCTGAACCGCTTCTATATATAGCACCTTCACCAAATTCTTAAAACGACGTCTGAAAGTTGGTATCCGTGACATGGAAGCTACAAGCCCCTGCAATCTGACACGAAAATGCTTGTCAAAATTTCGTTTGCTTTCGAGGTACAAGGTACAACTGAAGATAGTACATGATGCTCAGACTATCCAACACTAGAGACTAGACCAAATATCAGATATCAAATAAGCAAGATTACCTCCTAAATATGGCTTGCAGCTGTGCCCTTCTGACATGGTCTCCGGATGGAAATCCGGTATCCCACTCTTCAGGTTTTTCATTGTTGCTTTTCATGAATAAATATCTCAGACAGAGTTCTTCGTTCGCATTCAAGTGGAGGTTCTTTAGTTGCTCTTTCATGACCAACAATGGCACAATGAACCACTCAAACACTTTATCCTTTGGTCCATTTGCCCTTGTCAACTCTACATCATCAGCTATGGGATTCAAATTAGAAGAACTATAATTAAGCTCAAAGTAGCTGAAATCAATTAACCAGAGAATACAAAGTTTTAAGTTAGATAACATACATATCACCAACCCAGATGAGTTAGATTTTGCTGATGCAAGAAGACATTGCAATATAGACCAAGCAGGTAGTTTGATGCCCAACTTCTTACAATTTCCCTTTTGAAGGCATTCTTCTATGTCCTTGATATCTATCAGACCATCGCGGAGGAGTATCTTGCCATTAATCTCACAAGACTTCAACAGCCAGCTCCACACCTGTTACCATAACAAAAATGACATTTTACTTATAAGTGGCACGTGCACTCTGAACAAAGTTGATATATGTTGTCTTGGTCCTTACCTGCACTGGTTTATACCGTTGAATTGCCTGCTTCCATGTTCTTGATTGTTGTGAGATAAGTTTTGATGTGTTCATGCCTTCTCTCCTATTCTCCAAATCATTTTTATCTTTGTCACCACACTTCTTCCTTTCCGGGCAAGAGCACATATTTCTACGGTATATTGGCCTAGCTGCCACAGGATATCTCATAATCAACATTAAAATATTGCAATCATTAATATAAAGTTTCAAAGAGGGATGGCACTCCACAATGTACCTGGGAAAGCAGGACCCTACTCTCAAGTAGAGCAGTTCATTTACATATTCGTCAAATAGCGAAACCGCAGAAATTATGAAGGCAAGTCCAAGGCAGATTGAGTCTTCCTGAAAATTCGTATATCTCTGTCACGATAAACTTTCATTCCAACACAAAAAGAACTATCCAAACACTAAGAATTTTTAAAATTATTAGCCTAAACTCAATAAAATTATGATAGAGGCAACCAATTATAGACCTGATAAGCAATAGCACCACTATATAGTCCCAGAAAGAAGCTAGAAATGAAAGCAGCTACCACGGCTCCCACTACCGCCAAAGGCCACAAGATAATGGCAAGACCGGCAAATGGTACACATACGGTTTCCAAGAATGGTCCTTCCCTGCCTATCAAATCTTCCAATAGCCTCTTCCATCCTCTAAACAGCATGTAGGGGCTTTTCCATATTGCAACAGCTGTAATCACAGGCACATCCACCGGCACTCCAATCAGACTCACCAACAAAGAAGCTGGCAATTTTAATAACCTAGCAAGGTAGACACAAAACTCATCAGAAAGTCTAGTTATGTAATTTTATTTAAAAAGTCATAAATTTTCAATTGTAAGATTTCTCACTCTATATCCATTGGCTTTTCATCTGCAGGTATCTGCTCAATTAGTTCATCCATGTAGGAGAAGTAGGAGTGGAAGCAAAAATCTGTGAAATCCTGCACAACTACGCAGCCGCCTATGATTGTCGACCAAGTTCCATCCTAGCATGCAGAATAACGAGTAACTAAAGTGTAAAATGGGCTGAACACTCTTGATGAAAATGTGGAACTTGTTTTTTTTTTCTTTTTCCCTTTTCTGTTAATGGCCTCTGCATAAACATTAAACCAAAACAATTTGCAATCGAAAAATAAACAGAGCCAAGGAGAAAGGGAACATACAACAAAACAGTGGTAGAACTTGTCAGTGATATTCTCCCCAACTGCCTCAAATGTTGCAAGAAGGGGAGCAAAAAACCCATATCCAATCCCACCTAAAATGCTTCCGACGACTCCGAGAACCGGCCAAAGGGAAAGAGGCAATGGCAGCAATAACAGCACTAGAATCTTCAACACAAGTCCAAGCCTCTTGCTTCTGAAATAATAGGGCCATAAAAAGTGAGAATCACATAGTATAAAGATTGAAAAACCATTTACAATGTTGGTTCAAGGGGAGCATACCTTACTACACAGTAATAAGTCCAGACAAAATGAGCTAACCAAAGCTCAGCAATTACAGCTGAATTTCCAATCACAATAATTCCCACCACCACAGGCCCAATGATTGCAGCTATCAACCAAAAAAACTTGAATGAAAAGATCTCTCTCTCTCTCACGTATATATATATACAGATTTTCTCCTATGCGGATGTCTGGACGTTATTACAGTGCGGAATCCATGTATTTTCTACTACGCCTCCTTGTTTACAATGGCGTCCGCATGATAATAACGTGCCAACGTACATATATATATATATATATATATATATAGTGAGCTTCTATTGAGGAATCCCTCAAATAATCAAATAAGCTTATTTGAGGGACACTCTTGTAGGGGCCCACCACATATTTTTTTCAATGATACAAACCGTCTAATTTTTAGATATTCCCTCAAAGATCATATCTGCAAACAATCACATGAATCTGAAATCATTTGATCACTCAATTAGATTATTGTTATTTTAGTCTTTTCTTAAAGCGTGTTTGTCTATTTTGTTGCTTGCAATTTGATGCCTTAATGATTTTCCATTTTTCTGATTTTTGCATGAATGAAGACTTGAAAAATAGATGGTTTGGATCGTTAAAAAAAAAAAATCCTAGGATACCCTAAAGGGGTCCGTTTATATATATAAACACATAAAAATTCACAAACCCACTCAATCAACTCCATCCATCCATCCACCCCCTTGCATCCCTATGAAATACACAAATACATAAATTCTAAAAAGTAAAGCTCCCTACACATAACATGTGCATACATACATACACACATTACATTACACATACATACATAAATGCATACTTAAGCATACATGCATACATAAGCATATAAGTATTATCTTGGTATCAAATATTAATGGGTTGTGCTTAAAATTACATGTTGATCATAGCATAACAGAGTAAACTAACAGAGTGATTAGCAATAATTAACAAATTACGTGGTTAATTACCTTTGAGAAGGCCAAGGATGAGGAGCAAGAAGAAGAAAGGCAGGAAGGAGACGAAGCTCCATAGCTTGGCCACAAAATGCACCGGAACGTCCATCAAAGTACTTTTGGGCAACAATTGAATTTAATAGAAACTAGGACAGGAGAGAGAGAGAGAGAGAGAGAGAGACTACAGAGATAAAGCTGTTGATCGATGTTACAATACGAAGGGAGGGTGAGGATGCATGACGTGGCGGGAAATGGGGGAAAAGGTACACACGTGGCGAATGGTGGGGCTTGTAAAGCGTGATTCCATTGTAGGGCAGTTGAGGCAACGACAACACACGACACCGCTTTCTGGTGGCGGGAACAGCCTTGCGAAGATATTTTATTTTCCTTTTTACTATAAAATTAAAATTTGGCTTTAAAGTTTAATCACATGTTTAGCTTTTATTGTTCAACTCATTTTCATTTTGGCCCCGGAACTATCAACTTTGACACAACGGCAATAGTATTCAAATTGATAATTCTACTAAAGTTAGTAGATGAAATTCGACATACCAATTTGGAACTACCATATACGAGATGAAGGAATAATATTGAGATGAGTTGATAGCCTTGGATGCAAGGCGTGTGTATCGATTGTCATATAAATATTGTTTACAAGAGACATAATGATGACTATACAATAATAGCTTATAGCAGAAAGATAACTATATAACAATAGTTTAATAATAGTGCATAACATAATCATGACAAAGGATAAGAGTGTGGAGAGGAATTCTGAGTTGATGACACGTCAAAAGATGATTCATTATTATGCAGATTCTGTTTATCACACCCCCGCAAGCTGAACGGTGGGGGACGAACCGGAAGCTTGGACATGAGGGTAGAAAAGCGAGCAGTAGACAATCCTTTAGTAAACACATCTGCAATCTGATCAGAAGTGTAGATATATTTTACATCAATCTCTTTGCGAACCACCTTTTCACGGATATAATGATAGTCGACTTCAACATGTCGTGTGCGAGTATGATAAACAGGATTTGCTGCAAGGGAAATGTCACTGAGATTGTCACACCAAAGCTTGGGACAAGTGAGAGAGAGACGCAAATCTTTGAATAAGGAGCGAACCCATGAAAGATGAGCTACCGTGTAGGCCAGTTGACGATATTCGGCTTCTGTACTTGAACGAGACACACCCCGTTGCTTTTTCGAACTCCAAGTAATAAGATTGGGACTCAAGTAAATACAATGACCATCAGTGGAGATTTGATCATCGGGATCATTGGCATAATCCGCATCACAAAATGCAGTAAGAGTGAGGGAGCCAGGTGTGTAAAACAAACCATGTGAGAAGGTGAATTTCAAGTAGCGAAGAATCCTTTTAACTGCCATCCAATGAGTAGAGGTTGGACAATGCAAGTATTGGCACACTTGATTGACGGCAAAGGCCAAATCAGGTTGAGTGAGAGTTAAGTATTGAAGAGCACCGACAACACTTCATTATTGAGTAGGATCTTTCAAAGGCTCACCATCATGGAGACTGAGACGACGACCATGGGCTACTGGAGTAGAGACAGGTTTGGCATCCAACATGTGAGTACGTTGCAGCAAATCATGAGCATATTTAGATTGGGAAAGAAATAACCCGTCCTTTGTCTGATCGGCCTCAATGCCTAGAAAATAGTGAAGAAAGCCCAAATCCTTCATAGAGAAAAGTCACCCAAGATTGGCAAGTAATTGGGTAATGAAAGTTGGATCATTGCTCGTGATCAGAATGTCATCCACGTAAATGAGTAAGTAAATAATAAGTTATCCAGAATGATAGGTGAATAAAGAAGAATCTACAATGGAAGCTTCAAACCCCAATTCCTCCAAATAAGAGGAAAAACATGAGAACCAAGCCCTGGGTGCCTGTTTAAGCCCATATAAAGAATGTTGCAACTTACATACATGATGGGGAAAATCTGGATCAACAAAGCCTTTGGATTGCTACATATACACATCTTCATAAAGAGAGCCACGTAGAAATGCATTTTGGACGTTAAGTTGGCGAACGGGCCATTCAAAACTAACAGCAAGAGCAAGAATCAATCGAATAGTGGAGTGCTTAACAACCGGACTAAATGTTTCACCATAGTCAAGACCTTCCTGTTGATGAAACCCATTGGCAACTAACCTTGCCTTATATCGCTCAATAGACCCATCAAAGTTCCGCTTAATTCTAAAGACCCATTTATTAGGAAGAATATTCAAATGCGGTTGAGAAGGTACGAGAGTCCATGTACCAGCCTTTTGCAAGGCATTAATTTCCGCTCCCATGGCTTGTCGCCACTCAACAAGCTGATTTTCCTGGGTAAAAGAACTCGGCTCAACAATATTAACATGAGAATGAATAGAAAGAGCATATTTGGGATTAGGCTTGCTAACACCCATTTTACCTCTTGTGACCATAGGATGAGCAGATGTGGTTGGTGGAGTTTGTATGGAAGATATAGGTTGAGAGAGAGTGGGGAGAGATGGGTTAGGTGGAGGAAAGGTGAGAACATGACGATGAGGGTCACGACAGTAGACTTGTAAGGGAGAAGAGGGTAAGGGAGGAGGTGTATGGGGAGATGGGCTAGGAATGGGAGATTGTTCAGGTAAAGGAGAGGAATTGGTAGGAATAGAGGGTAAAGGTTGAGATGGGCAAGGGATATCAGTAAAAAATAAAGGTAGTGAAGGTGAAGTGGATGCTTCCGTAGCCCGATTCACAGTGATCTCTTTAAAAGGAAAAAAACTTTCATCAAAAGTAACGTGACGAGACAAATACACACGACGAGTAGAGATATCTAAGCAACAATAACCTTTATGATTTAATGAATAACCCAAAAAGACACATTGGGTGGATCGAAAATTTAACTTGTGTTGGTTTTAAAGACGTAAATAAGGATAGCATGCACAGCCAAAAACACGGAGGGAATTATAAACAGGAGCACGTTAAAATAACTTTTCGTAAGGAGAAGAAAAATGCAAAACCTTAGTGGGAAGTCGATTTATTAAATAGAGAGCAGTGTAAATGGCTTCAACCCAGTATTGAGATGGCATGGAAGAATGAGTAAGGAGAGTTAAAGCTGTATCGACTAAAGGACGATGTTTGCATTCGGCAAGTCTATTTTGTTCAGGATGGTGGGGACAAGAAATGCGATGTTCAATTCCTTTACTAGCCAAAAATTCTTTAAGTTTATGATTAGTGTATTCGCCCCCACCCTCTGTTTGAAAAGATTTGATAGTAGAAGAGAATTGAGTGAGAACATAAGCATAAAATTTAATAAAAACATCACAGACTTCATATTTATGTTTTAAAGGAAACAACCAAGAATACCGAGAAAAATTATCCACGAAAAGAACATAATACTTAAATCCTTGAATAGATAAAATAGATGAAGACCAAATATCAGAATGAATCAACTGAAATGGAAAAGTGGTAATAGATTTGGACAAATGAAAGGGAAGTTTAGTAGCTTTTCCCAAAGGACAAGACGAACAAAAATCCAAAACATGAGAACCTAAAGATGGTAAATTAGGAAATAAACGATGCAAACTAGGAGGAGATGGATGACCCAACTGAGCATGCCAAACAGGAGCATCAATCTTGACAACATGAAAAGCAAACGGACGTTGAGAAAGGGAATGCAAAAAATAAACAGGATAGAGACCATTGTTACTCGAGCCTTGGAAAAGCGTCTTCGCCGTCTTAAGATCCTTCACACAAAAAAAATTGGGAAAGATGAGAAAGTAACAATTATTATCTTTACTAAATTGATGAGCGGATAAAATGTTGGTGGAGGCATTAGGAGAATACAAAATATTATTCATGATAAATGGGTGGGAAGAGTGAGTAAAAATAGATGAACCAATTTTTTTAATTTGCAAACCTGTACCGGAAACAACACCACCAACAGTATCACCACGATAGTCAAGAGATAGATTAAGGTTACCAAGGTCTGAGGTAATATGAGCATTAGCGCCTGTATCCAACAACCATGCACGAGGATCAGAGGACGAAGAGGCTAGAGTAGCCATAGCTGAGAGTGTCTGAGTAGGTAGACGTGGATTAGAAGCCATAGCTAAGAGTGTCTGAGTAGGTAGACGTCCTTCAAAAGCCAAGTTCATGCGATTGTAACCGTCGATAGCAGAATGGCCAGGGCGGTTACAAATTTGATAGAGAATTCGGCCTGTGGAAGACCGGCCAGCAACATAAGGAGATGAGGAGGAAGGACGCTGCCCAAGAATGGATGGAGAGCGGCTAGAAAACCTGCTACCAGAACCAGCAACAGATGAAGGAGAAAAGGAACCACGACCACTACGATCGACGGATGTGAATCCACGACTAACATCAAAACCAGCAAAAGTAGCACGACCACGGAGGCCACCACGACCAAAAAATCCACTACTATGACTAGCGTACAAAGCTTGAGAAGTGGCATCAGGAGCAACAACTCCTTGAGCATGAAGACGACATTCTGCGCTCAACAAGAGAGCTTCAAGATCATGATACGAAATGGGAGATTCGCGAGCCTGGGCAAAGCTCACGGTGGTCTCATATAGGGGTCCGACATTATTCATGATGATAGAAATTAAGTCACTATCAGGAACAGAATGCCAGCAAGAGCAAGACTATCAACAATTCCATGTAATTTGTCCAAGAAGTAAGATATAGAAAGATCACCACGAGAGGTGCGCAAGAGCTCACTACGTAATTGAAGAATGCAGTTGTGAGATGGGGAAGCATATCGGTTTGCAAGTGATAACCAAGTGACACGAGTAGAGGTGGAGCGAACAACCGTACCCAAAACGATCGGTGTGAGGGAACCGTTGATCCAACTGAGGACCATTTGATCTGTTTGAATCCATTCTTTATAGGCAGAATTGACAACTTCAGAAGTTGTGCCTTTTTCATCAGTAACTTGGAGAAAAGCCGAAGGACACTTACTAGTGCCATCTACAAACTGCATGAGGCCACGACTTTTAAGGATGGGAGTAATATGGGCTAACCATAGGGGATAATTGTTACGATCAAGCTTGATGAACAGAAGATTAGAGACAGATGTGTGTATATGGTTACTGGAAAGAGAAGAAGAAGCAGAAGCAGTTGCAGTAGCAGAGGAGGAAGCCATAATAGCAAGTGCAATGAAAGATGAGTAGATTATAAGGACTGGAAAAAAAACAGACGTGAGTCACTGAAGCTTTGATACCATGAAGGAATAATATTGAGATGAGTTGAAAGCCTTGGATGCAAGGCGTGTGTATTGATTGTCATATAAATATTGTTTACAAGAGACATAATGATGACTATACAATAATAGCTTACAGCAGAAAGATAACTATATAACAATAGTTTAATAATAGTGCATAACATAATCATGACAAAGGATAAGAGTGTGGAGAGGAATTCTGAGTTGATGACACGTCAAAAGATGATTCATTATTATGCAGATTCTGTTTATCACGAGAATTACGTCATTTCTTCAAACGTTTGCAATCATATCATGTCTTTAAGAATGGGGTAATCGAACTTAGGATATCACTTAAGCTACAAGTCTTTGTCTCTTCTTATCTTTTTTTGACAATTTTAAACTTATAGAACTTTATTGTTAACATCGAACTTAGGATATCACTTAAGCTACAAGTCTTTGTCTCTTCTTATCTTTTTTTGACAATTTTAAACTTATAGAACTTTATTGTTAACCGATCAAAACTATAATTAACGAGAGAAAGTACTAACTTTCAATAAGAAGGACTAAAGCGAAAAACGAGTTACACGACAATGACCATAACATAATTTGACATTTCTTTAGAACAAACTGAAGGCCCAAACATTCAATACACAAATTTTATGTTCATGGGCACCCTTTTAAATTTAAGTGGTGTTCATGTCCTCTATATTCTTTTGGAAAATCATTCATCCAATTCTATCAAAACCAGTGAGAATTGACCCGTACGTTTGGCATTTCATTGAAAAAGGAACAAAAGAAAATTGTCTTATGGAGTGTTTCATGACTACCCTTGGTGGCCAATTGATTTGGGTGTTGAATGGAAATACAATGCACAGGAAGCTCCCATTCTCCAGATCATTGTTATAGTTGTCGACGTACTTCTTCCTCTCTGGGCAAAGAGCTCATATTTCCAAAACATTTCAACAATTGCAATCATTAAGAAAGAGTTTCATAGAGGAACGGCAATTCTAATTTGCATGATTTGGTCAATTGATATATCATCATATTTAATGTTCATTTGTGTGACTTACGTGCATATCAATTTGAGGGCATAATGGTCATTACCCCAAAAAAACAAAAACCCTTCAAATGAGTCATCATCAGTATGACCATTAATAAAAATCTTGATATAAACCCAAAAAAATGGGCTTACATTGATCCTACAAAGCACCTGCGTTTTCCGTAATCAACGCTTTAAGCTTTTGGGTTTATGCCTAATTTTTTAGAGATATTTAGTTATATACCCATTCTTAGTAATATTGATATAGATAAACCTTACACAATTTAATTTCTATAAACAAATCCAAAAAATGATAGCTGACCTTACTGAATTTAATTGTGATTATTAAATTACTTTGATACCCTATTGAGTGTTTTAGGTTTTTTTTTATGAGGTTTTGGAGTTGAGCTTGTTTTAAGAAATCGATGATAGTTTTGTAATTTTTAGGAAGTTCGAAGCGTCTTTGTTATGTTATAAATGGGCTTTGAGTGTGTTTCTAAAGTCCATTTCATATGGGATTTTTTTTATTTTATAGTGTGGGCACTTATATTAGGTATAATAGTGAATCTCTTAATTTTTTTATCTGGTATAAGTGATATTCTACTTTAATCTAATCTAAACTATGAAGAGGGATTCGAACTCAGTTAAGAGTGGGGAGTACATTCACTCTAGCTAACTTATTAAGCTTGCCTATTAAGAGAAAGTTGATTGTAAATAAAGCAGAAGCGATGGCAGCCCTCAAGGACGCCTCTTTCTTGGCAGTGGAGAAAAGGGTTGTGACTAGTCGAATCACATTCTAAAGTATTGATCCAGAGCATAAAATAAAGGGTAACATAAAAAGATGATTGGAACCATTTGCAGGCCAGTAGAGTTGCGATGAGTTCCGGCAGGACCAACCCCTATCCTCCCTAGTTTTCGTTCTCAACAACGATGAACACCCGTGTCCCCCAAGAAACTAAGGCGATCGGGACAAGGTTCGACGTTTTTCCACCAGTGCAGCGTCTTTGGTTTCCCTTGCTTCCCTGTTGTGTCGAGTGTGTCTCTACTTTTCCGGTTCCTTTCTAGTTGTCTTTGGGTGTCCTCACTAGTTTCTGGGGCACCGTCTATGGAATCTCTGATGTTAAAAAATACAAAATAAAGAAAAATTCAAGAATGGGTGAAAAACAGAGATGGATAGGACACTACTCTAGCTCTCATAAGATATTGTTGGTTGGAGAGGGAGACTTCTCATTTTCTGCTTGTTTGGCCCGAGCTTTTCGCTCTGCGACTAACATGGTTGCAACCACTTTTGAATCGGAAGGTACATTAATTTTTCAAGTATACCTTGTTTTTATTTTTATTTTTTGTTTTTTGTTTTACATTAGCTAATTAATTTAATCAATATTATAAATATGCCAACGGGTCTAGCCGAATGAAAAAAAATATTGACTTATAAACCAGAAATCTCAAGTACAAACCCCACGGCATATTGGTTAGGGTGTGTATGTGAGAAACCCCCTCCCTAATTTAGATTATCGCTTGCACTAAAAAAATAATTTAATATTATATAAATGTTGGAAGTTCAGATACTCTATTGAAGGAACATTGGAGCAGTGAGGCACATGTGGATGAGTTGCAGAGAAGAGGATGCTTGGTGTTACATGAAGTTGATGCATATGACATGGACCAGCATCCCACCCTTATGTTCATGAAATTTGATATTATCGTCTTCAACTTTCCTCATGCAGGCCATGACTATTGGCTATGCGAAAGAGACAATGAGCTCATCCGGTAAGTGACCAAGCAGATCAAACTTGTCACAAGTATTCATATCAGGGATGCTTTAATTTCCGATAGTCTTGATCCATTAATGGTGGCATCCATTAGGTGTCGTAGTAGGGTTGGATTAGCATAATCCAATCTCGTACTAAAAAATGAAATAAGAGATAATCCCGCCATAATTTCATTAGCTGCTACAATTTTGTAAGTTCACTTATCCTAAGAAAACAAGGGTGAGATACATAATCTCACTATTCCAAGTATGTGACCCCAGACCGACAATCCGGGAATCGGAGGACCATGACACTAAGCTCTTAGTTGTAATCCCCATGCAATTCAAACCAATCTTAGTTATCAAGCATGACCTTAAACTCTTATTGATTTTCACATGTTTTTGTAATTAATACTATTAGTTACTTCATACTCTGCTCTTAGTGATCAGTTTGGGATTTCAATTGAATTTTAGAAGGCACAGGGGTTTGCTAGAAGCATTTTTCCGAAGTGCCAGTGGGATGCTGGGCGAAGGTGGGGAAATTCATGTTTCACACAGAGACGGCTACCCTTATGATAATTGGAAGTTGAAGAAGCTTGCTAAGAAAGCCGGCCTGGTTTTGAAAGAGAAAGTGTGGTTCGAAAAGTCGGACTACCCTGGCTACCACCAGAAGAGAGGTGGAGGCATCGAGAGCAACAAAACATTTCCTCTCAAAGAATGTTACACCTTCAAGTTTTCTCTGAAACAAGAAGCAAGTCGTGAATTAGTGCCTGAGGTTCCCGCTGATTTTGTAAAGGTCCCTTCTCTCTCTCTCTCTCTCTCTCTCTCTCTCTCTCTCTCTCTCTCTTGTTCCCATTGTGTCTGTCTACTTGTCAATTCATTTTCTCCATCTATGTCTCTGTTGTTTCCTTTGTCTTAACATTCTCACAAACTCAGTCTTGGGTCTTTTTGCTCTGTGGGGTTTGCGAAGATGAGTGGATGTGAGTTCAGGGTCTCAATCTCAAACAGCGTGAGAAAGACGATCCAGGACATCAAGGAGATAACGGGAAGTCATAGTGAGGAGGAAATCTATGCAATGCTCAAGAGATGTTACATGGATCCCAACGAGACCGCCCAGAAGCTTCCTCTTCAGGGTACCTACAATTGCTTTTTTGCTTTGCTCCTTTTGCTAAAGTTCTGTTTCACGGGGTTTTATTTGATTTTGATCATGCGGGAAGTGGGAATTGAGTTGGGTTTGATTTGCTGTAATGGGTTTTCAATGTTTGTTTGAGCTCGCACTTTGTTGGTTCATAGCAATCATGTTCAGGCATTTCAGAATGACTTTTTTTTTTGGTCGTACATTTCAGAATGGCTAGTGCGATCACTTCGTGTACATTTAGAAAATTTGAACTTAATTTTACCTTAAACTTGTGGCTATTTTTGGGGTACAGAAGTAAGCTATAGCTTGCACTTATAGGAAAATACTTCCCTCCTTTCCGTATAAGTAGGAACTTTCACTATGACATGTGTGCATAAATTTTTTTTGTGTGTGTTTTTGATGAATTATTTTGGCACATATGTCAAACCGTGATTTGCAAGGAGGAGCTAGCATCTCCTTAACTTGTTATTGCAGTGAGCTCTATGAAGTGGTCTTTTCCTGGAATAGGGTTTGATTTTTAACTGGATAATACTTCCCTCCTTGCCTAATGATGTAACTCAACCACAATCAGACACGTGTCTAGTATTGTCTTGGAGTTTAAACTCCAACTAGGTGGACTTCTCCATCTTTTTTTTTTTTTTTTTCCCTTTAAACGACTGAAATAATACTCTTATGTATTGATCTGCAGATCCATTTCATGAGGTCAAAAGGAAACGTGACAAGAGAAAAGAGGTAAGAAATTCTAAATATGAGCTGATTTTTACCGTCAGTTAATTGGCGGGTAAGGTAGTGGATTTCTGGTATGTTGTCTCGTTAAGCAACTCGTTTTATGTTCTTTGTGAAATACAAACTTTATAATGTGGTTTTTCCTTACAAATATGTGGAACTGGTTTTTGGTATTATTTTCCTTCTCATTCATATATAATTATTATTTCTTCAAATTTAAATACCAATTAGTTGTCTCTTGCAGAATCTGAACAACATAGAGTCTGCAGAGTCGCCGTGGAGACCTGGAATGCAGGGACGGGAAGGTAAGAGCGGTTGGGTGAATTTCTCACCTCGTTATATGTCACATGGTTAGTGAAATTAGAACGTCTTTGAGGGTCACTATTGCTTGCATTTTTTCTTTTTAACCTGGTTGATTAGGGCACAACGTTATGTTTGAAATTAGAACTTCTTGGCAGATGCTGGTGATGGTAGAAATTCGGCTCCTCGAGTTGCTTCCTCTTTTCCAATCTCTCGTAAGACAAAAAATAAACAGAGAAGTCTGGTAACAAGGTGACAATAATTTTAAAACCCGAATGCCTTTTTATAAATTTTACGGCCATTTGTCTTGAATGCAGTTTATATTGCGTTGTAAAACTTACATGTTTAAGTATCATTTGCAGCTCTCGACCGATCATTGTGGATGGTCCTACCAATGTGGCTGATCACTACAAGAAAAAACCCTTTTAGCGACCAAACGTTTTTGGTCGCCTAATGTATGTTTTTAGTCGTTGATTAATATTGCCGACAAAAATTTCGTCGCAATCTAGTCGTCGTAGAAGGGGCGTCGTAGATACTAGAAACAACGACAAGAAACTATTTTGGTCGGTGATTCTTATAAGCAACCAATAGTTCTCGTCGCCCATTTCTCATAATTTCGTCGTTGATCCCTTGTCTCTTTGGCGCGAAAGTCCAAGGGATTGGCAACCAAATAAATATTTGGTCGCAATTTACCATTGGCGTCCTACAGTTTGGGTCTTCAAAAGTGTAAAAGTTTGGTCGTTGAAGTTATGTTTATTGGCGACCAAATAAAAATTTGGTCTTGGTTTATATTTAATGTCAATATTTTTGGTCACTTATTAATTAAAGCTTTGGTCGGGAAAACCTGTCTACTTCCAAGTTTTTTCTCAAATATTGAATTATTTTGTCGCCAATATCAAGTTATTTGGTCGCCAAGGATGTTGATTTTGAGGTTTTTTTAAATTTTTTAAAAACTGAAAAATATATTTTATTGAATATGAATAATTTTCTTTTTCTTTTTCTATAATTAAATTAATATAGTTTTTATAAAACTTTTATTAAATGTTCCAAATAAAATTACCATATATAAGACTTCCCCAATTAAATATTCTACAAAGTACACAACATACACCCTAAAAACATATCATACTTCATATGCAACATTTTCTTTTTAAAAGCAAAAGGGATTCATAAGCAAAATATAGTGACATAGCATAATTAACAAAATCACCATAGTTACTGCACATGAGATCAAAGTCATGTCTACTAAGACATATGAAATATAAATAAAAGTTACAGCTTACACATATACCTCCACTGTCCTTCAAAAACACACAAAAGTACTTCATCATCTCTTTAAGTCTTAGGAGCAGTTGCCACAAGCAACAGAAACATATGCATCCATTCAAACCAAAGCCTATATAAAATTTCAGCTAAGTCTATATACTACTTAATATATGGATGAGCAATGTGTGTGATCACAATCACACTTATAGTCAGAAGTATGGTGAATCTGACCACATACCTAAGTCATATTCTTGATCATATTATTGATCACACATATCTTGGATTTGAAACAAAAACCACATACCTAAGTCAGATTGTAGGATTTGAGTCCATCAAAGTCACAAAATCACCAAGATCATCCATACCCAAAACAACCAAAAGGTCTAAAACCTACCTAATGACCATGAACAATATCTTCAAGACCAGTATACACACCATCAACACCACCTTGTAAGTTGTCACTGTGATCAGTTGTAGAATCATCAAAATAAGAAGAATCTTGTCGGAGCCAAGGTCCCTTACCATTGCACTTACTGTTGCGTTTACGCTTTCTAGATCTATCATTAATCCCAGCTTGCAGCTGCTTAACGATGTCACAAAGTTTTTCCACAGTTTATGAGAGCTTATTGTATCTATCATCTTCAGTCATAGAGTTTTTGCCGTATCTACTTGTAGAGCGAGAACTAGTCTCCACTCGAAGATTCGAGCCCAATCCAATCCTAAGTTCTTTATTCATAATCCCCAATTGGTGCATGTCTGAAACTGAGATCTATTCAGAAGCGTTGCTTGAAGTCACAGACCCCTGCTGAATGTACATTGCCATTGCTACTTTCATTTTCTTCTACAAAAAAGGAAGTCTAGTTGTGTTAAAGTCAAACATTAAAAAAAAAAAAAAAAAATTTGAACATGTAGCTTACTAAAAGTATAGGAAAATTTATTATTTACCCCCTTATTCTCAGCAGCTTCATTGACCCATGCCTTTATCCCAGTGCATATATGCATGTTGTTCCAATCGTCGATAAGTGTAACATGTTGACCCTTCTACATTTTCCCAAGAAAAAAAAAGAGTTTAAGAAATCAAAAGGGGTCTAATATGATCAAGACAACAAGAAATCACAAGGGGTCATTTTATTAATATATTTTGCTTCCACACAGTACCATTTCACCTAATTTCAGTCAAACCCATTGATATTCTTGCTGCCGTGCTATTCGGATTATTTCAACAGATATCACATTCACCTTTACTTTAACACATTCACCTTTACTTTAATGCTTTTCCTTTTCCAATAACTAACAAAGGAGGACTACTTGAACTTAGTAGGAATAACATTAAATGTAAAGAATTTACTGATTACCTTCTCGGCTGCTTCCTTATGTTTCAGGAAAGGGCTTGAACCTTCTATGTGTTCATATTCTTTCGTTTTTCTGTTATCAACATTGGCTTTGCACCTTTTCTTCAATAAAAGCACATAGAATTTGTTATATTTCTTCTAACTAATAAATAAGAAAATGATTATAATCAATGAGTCACAATAGTACCTAATTAATTAAGATACCTGGTATCTCTCATCTATGTACAAGTTATCAACGACTAACCAGTGCCACTCCTCTATTTTCCTATGAGTTACGAAGACCTTGTTAGTGGGAGGTGTGGCCCGTGCAAGCTGAAGGTCTTATAATCAGTGTTTGTGACTTATTAACCACAAAACAAGTACCAAGCCCCACAGTTGGACCACAAGTGTTCCTATGCTTTGACAAAGTCTCTAAACAATCGCCCTGGCCTAAAAACCAAAAACAACTTGTCTAAGAGTCTAAATTGTTTGTACAATTGGAGTTCTGCTCCTGAAATCAGCTCAAATTTAAAAATAAATTCATATAAACATCCATATGAAATTGGAGTTCTGGTCCTATATACATCTGCCAACAATTAAGTTTATATAAAATCCGAGACAAATCAGTTCAGTATTCATAATACGTCCATACTTCCAATCATTAGTCATCATAGCATATTAAGTCCATAATAAAAACATCTTCAGCATCATAATAAACTCATTTTCTACCTGTGTGAGGAGTTGCTAGCGAGGCAGATGTAGACTCCTGATGTGGATGTGGTGACTGCAATGGCGGCTGATCACATGGGTGCTCATATTGGTGATCTTGTTGTCATGGTGCCTCTTGTGGTCGTGGTGCATGTGGAGCTGATCTTTGTTTCTTAATAGGATCATTATTTTTCTTCAATTAAAATTTAGAATTTTTATTTTCTAATATTATTACAATATTACTTATTCTTATGCCTTTGAAATTACCTCATCTCTTTGTAGCTGTAAACTGTACGTGCTTTGCTTGCATTTGGTTTTACTTTAGGTAAATTATCCTAGCCTCACTTGAAAAATCTGCCCCCAATGAATTGCCAACATCCCAACATCTAAATCCTATTGTCTAATTGCTGAATCTGTGTGTTTTTTTTTTTTTTTTCCAAAGTACTGAATCTGTTCAATTACTAAATATGTATTTAGAATTTTTATATCATTTATCGCTATAAAAATAATATGGAAATTTTTAAAAAAAACAAAAATTATATGCAATTCAACAACCAAAATCATATGCAATCATACAAATCCAGCAAAATTTGTAAATTTTCATAACCCACAAAACCTTAACTACAAATCCACCAACATAAAAACTGCATAAATTAAAAAAGTACCTCTTAAGCAAATAATTCAACAACCTACAGAAAACTGGAGACAAATGAGAAAAGTATATCAATGCTAGAAAATAAATTTCAAACTAGTAAAAGTCAAATAATAAAAATACCAAACTTAGCGTGTTTGGAGAGACCAAAGACTCTAATTTCAACCTTGCGAGTGCATACTTGCACAAGTTTAGTGCATCAAACACTCACAAATTTGGCCAATATCCAAACAAAGGTTCTAAAATAATTTTTATACTCTAACCTTTTAATAAACCAGTCCCAAATAAGCTCTGAATCAGGACCAACTCAATAAGAACTCGAATCCAAATCAGGCCCTTCTTTGTGCGCAAACGATTTTGAGGACCTGATCACCAAAACAATATTAATTTTCACTACTGAAGCTCATCATTCCACAAAACAAGACATCATAATTTTCTAATATCACTATGTAACTTGTAGTCAGTAACATTGAGAGCAATGGATGTGAACAGATAGTTTTATCACTATGTATTTAAATCCCGAATTTTCGAATATATGATGTTCCATTTTCTTTGCATTATTTGAATTTATTTTTTTCCAGAACCACACTTATAATCTGAACATTTTTTGCTTATCATGAGCAGAATTTCATTATAGAAAAGCCATGCCATTTTCAAGGGGAAATGAGAGTTGAAAAAAGACTCCAAGAGTAAAAAAGCAAGCAAAAGTGTACATCCATAACATGAAATTTTCAAAGGCCATCCTTAGATTTTGGGAGGACCAGAAGAATTAGAATATATTTATCTTTGCAAAGACCAGCTTCGGTTCCCTTTCTCCCTTTGGGGAAACTTAAATCACTCCAAGGGAACCCAATCCCTCATCATGTGTTCACAGACATTGCTCTACGTATTATCATCCATATTGAAAATTATGTGTATGTGTGTGTGTGTTTGGAGACAGACCTTTCCACTAAACCGGAAAGCAAGTAAATTTAGTCTAATAAGTTCAAAGTTTTGTCATCATCAAACCACAATCGAACCTTTGACCATCATCAGACCTTGGACCCCAAACGCACAAACTTATTACAGTCTAATAAGTGTAAAGTTTTGTCATCTAATAAGCTCAAATATAATACAAAGACTAAAGAAAAACATAACCTTGGACCATCATCATACCACAATCGAATAAATATAGATGAAATTGAGAGGAAATAATAAAAAAAAATTGTTAAAGCAACTACCTTCTTCAAATTTTGCTCATTGAATGACAATAAACAAACTGAATGCAAATTATGAAAGCTTGGGACTGGATTTTCGCTTGACCTCAGGGACAAAAGGAGGAGTGGGTTTTGATAGTGGGTTGGTGGATGGGTTAGATTTGGGGTTGAGCAGAGAGACAGAGTGTGAGTGAGAGAATGGGATGTAAAGATGAGCGGCATTGGGTGTGGCTTCACGTCATCTCTCTAGGTTACAGAGATGACAGAGAGAGTGAGTGAGAGAGGGTTTGGTTGAACAGAGCAAAGTTTTCTCTTGCCTTTTTTTTTTTTGGTCTGAAAGCTAAGTGTTCTCTGATTGTGAAGTAAATGGGAAGAAAAGATAATAAAGCCAGGGCATTTATTGCTTACCCTTTTCAACGACCAGATTTTTTTTTGTCGTACCTTTGCAACTACCAATA